CCTGTAACCATTTTATGGGGAAAACATACACTCGCACAAGTCAAGTACTCACACACACAAACACACACATTCACGCTCGCACACAAACATACACGCACACATGAAATAATACAATAATGATTTTATTGAAGTGAATGAATTTTCTCATCATATTGGTGCCATGTGTTATTTGTATTTATATCGAGAATTAATATTTGGTAACTTGTTTCTCTTTCCGGGATTGTGTACAGTACAATGTTGCCGTGCAGTGTGCCGATGTGTCCGAATGAGGCATGGCTCTTTTTATTAGTTGATAATTGCAACTTTTCAAAATAATAATAAAAAATTATATTATTAATATTAGTTATATTTTGGTGTAATAAATATTGTTATACAACCTCGTTAATGAGTTAAGTTTCCTGCCTATGTGTTCGTCTTGAAAGTTTGTTTGTATGCGTGTTGATCCATTTGAAAGCATGTATTTTTATGTCGATGTGATATTATTAAACGTGTTTAACGGTTGGTTTGTTTATATTCCTAACAACTAACATGACTGACAGAGTTTTTGCTTTCAGACTAGTTTCAAGATTGATATTATTCAGGCGTGAAACATTTTTTTGCTTAAATATAAAAAAATCTGTCATTATTAAATTTATAAACTATCAATCATCATTCATAATTTTGTAAGGAAAATCCGTCTCCAAAAAAATAAACATCTACCGTCCGCTATTTTTCAATGACGGTTTCGATTTTCTGTCACTCCCTGCAATGGAGAGCATGGATAGGTGAATGCGCGAGATTATGTGCATAGATATGAAAATGTAGATAAGCAGACATTTGCAAATCTCACGTCTATGCATGCGTGACATCATGAAAGTTTGCCTAGGAAAAAAGCCGAATTGGGCGTTCAAAAAAGTGACACGGAAAAGGAAGAGAAGGAGAAAGAAAGAAAGCATGAGTGAGTGAGTGAGAATAAACAGACAGAGCGATAAAAAGAAATGAAGAGAAAGTGAAAGAGAGAGAGAGAAGAGAAATGAACGAAGAGCATGTGGGTAGAGAGAGAGAGAGAAAGAGATGTTTACGTGCTTGCGGCAGTTTCTGAACAGCAAGTGAATCTTTATTTCTTTCAAATAAATTGTCCATGTTTATAATTTGAGTAAAACTAAATACAGACAGATCAACAGAAATAAATACAATAAAATACTCAAAGAAAATACATAAACTTTTCTATTTTGATGTAGTTGAAGAGCCAGCAACATAAAGGAACATAGATAAATGAGTACAAACAACACCAGGAGAATATACAAACGTACTCAAACGAATGCGGGGAGATGCAGGCATGCAGAGAAGAGAGTATTCGTGAAGTGTGCTCATCAGGTGGGTGTTTGAAACACGAAGAAGGCACGCATACAAAATATTGAAGGACAAAAATCATCATGTTTTTTTGCTTGCTTGCTTGTTTGTTTGCTCGCCTGTACTCGTGTATGTGCTTTTGCATGCCTTTGCTCAAACGCTCACTTGAATAACAGATTGAATCGTTGAGAACAAACTTTCAGAAAAATGAAAGTTGAAAGATGCATTAAAACTATCGTGTAAAAATTAGAAAAAAGAGAGCAAAAAAGGAAAAAAAGGAAGAAAGAGAGGGAGAAAGAGTGAGAAAGACAGAATGAAAGAGAGTAGGAGAGAGAGAGAGTAGGAGAAAGAGTGAAATGCGCAAGAGTTATCTTGCGGAGGATCTCAGTGGTAACTTGACACCAGAGGAAAGCCTCAGACGTTGATTGACTAAGTCGATAATAATATGCTTTCCTGGTTATGCTGCTGCTGATTCTAGTAATGATTTTCATGGTGATGATGATGATGACGACGACGATGATGATGATGACGATTAGTGAATGGCGTGGTGATGACTACCATATGAATGATGGTCATTGTGAAAAAATGATGGATCGGTTGTGATGCTGATAGCGATTTAATAATTTTGTTTATGATTTGAAAACCAATAAAAGCTTGTATGAAAACCTCTTTTAAATATTTATCCAAAAATGATGATTCGTAAATGATTATTTGTGATAATTGTTGGACATAATTTGTTATTCAACACCCCCATTAATAAATAATTATTTTTCAAAATTAGCATCATTATTATTAAACATCCATTATTTTTAAACATCAGTATATTCATATTGATCAAAATTCTCAGAACGGAAGTTAGAAAATGAAAGCAGGCTATTACGCGGAAAGACAAACGGGCAGACACTCTCCGCTACATTCAACAGGGAACTTGGAAAATCCCAACTTTCGATTCGCATCATCTTATGGCTCATTGGCTATGGACTTCTCCCACGTGACCTCTGAGGCCAAGGCCATTTCTAAAGTAAATATACAAATTATTAAATAAATTAATTAAACGTAGCAAACTAAAGGCAATCAAGGGTTTACATAAGTAGCAGAAACGAGGGGAAGGTAGAGAAGCTTCGGGCTCCAGTCTCCATCTTGAATATTTTTTAAAAATTTTATTAAGTTACTTTTTCAATCCATTATGATTTAAAAAATAATTATCAAAATATTTATAAAATATATTTATCTTTTTTTGTGTTTGTTTAGTATTTACTAACATAAGAACCATCATAGAAATCAGGTTGAACAAAACACACACACACACACACACACACACACACACACACACACATACACACACACATACCATATGTAAATTATTTACTTATATAATTATTTTGTAATGAGCTTTGATATTGCACTATGATTACATTGAAATAAGATAAAAAAATTATAATGAAACGACTAATGAAACAAAATAATGATTAATTGAACTGCCGTTGTCTTACAAAATCAGACGAGACCGTCTCAAAGTGCAGCATCGTCGCCACACCACGTTTCGAAACCGCTGCTGCTGCTTGAACGCCAATACCAACAACAGCAGCAGCAGCAGCATTCTTCTCATCAATTACCTCATCAGCAGCCACACTTTCATCCTCCCTACCATTGCCAGGGATCCGTTGTCAACTTACCCCTGCCTCCTCTTCCGGTTGAACACCTCCACCACCAACATCAACATCGACAACATTTTCAGCAACATAAACAACAACAACAGCAACACCAGCAACAGCAACAACAACAATGCATAGCGCACTCAGCACCGAGCACATCTTCGTCATCGCCATCACTATCATTATTGACGAGGTATGTATCTGATGGATGGCTCGCGTGTATCAATGGCTGAATGAGTGATTGAATGAATGAACGATCAAATGAACGGTAAACAATCGAAATGATAAAAGAATAAAGATAAAAGAATGAAGATAAAAGCAAATGAACGAGCAAACGATCGAAGAAGTTAGGAACAAGTGAGTAAACAAGTGAACAAACGAGTTATGAAACGAACTCATGCATGAACGAATAATCAGATGGATGAACAAATGGAAAAGTCGATAAATGAAAGATTGATTGATTAATGAATGAGCAACTGAATGAACTAAAGAACAACAAAATGAATGAATCAGTGAAAATGCATGACTGAATCCGTGAAATGTATGAAAACGCTATTGAATAATAATTTATACTACACGTGGCACCAACCCAAATGATAAGATCATATTTCCACAACAAAAACGTACGTGGACCAACAAAATGTTTAAATAAAATCGATCTTTAATACATGAATGCATGTTTAATTAATTAATTAATTTACTTAGGTTAACGTATAATTAACAAATAAATTAATAAATTAATTAATTGGCATGACGACCTTCTGAACCAGAGAAAAACACTTGTTTTGACTGATAGCACGCATGTTTTGACGCTTGTATGATTACATCAATAAATAAAAGAGTAACTGTATGATAGAGTGAACGAATGAATGAATGAAAAAAGAATGAACAAAAAAAAGAACGAACGAATGAACGAATGAATGAATGAATGAAAAATCGATTGATGAATTGCTTGAAATAAAGAACAACATTTTGTTTTGTGCGAATGTCTGCAAGACCGTCTGACATTCTGTCTACCGCTGCCAGAAACATTTATTAGATACTGTATGAAGTACGTAAATGAGTAGCAGGCATCGTGTATCTTGTAGTGGTTTTGTATGTAGTATGTATATATTGTATTGTAACTTGTATGTAGTGATTGTAACTTGCATGTATTAATTGTAACTTGCATGTAGTAATTGTAACTTGTGTGTAGTAATTGTAATTTGTATGTAGTAATTGTAACGTGTATGTGTAACGGTATTATTAAATTTTGTGTAATAACAGTGGATTTTATGAAAAATGGTTGTGTAATGATATTAATTAGGTAGTAAATTATGCGTAGTAAAGTAAGTATGATACTTTGACGTGGGAGTATGCCTTGAAGTATGTAAGTAGCTATACTTCTGAATAACAATGCATTACTAGAATTTTGAAACTACCGCTGTATTACAGTTAACAAATTAGTAGCAATAGCGAAAATAGATATTGTATAAATTGTTGTTTGGATGTTTGTGGCGGGCAAAATTTAATGGCAGTGATTCATCTTATTTGTTCTAGCTGCAGTTGCTTGTTTTTGTGAGTTTGTTTATTTCGGCACATACACTCAATGGTAATATTAAAATTTTAGGGCGGCTCACAAAATTGGTCTTGCAACGAAAAAGAAATCCACGACTTCGAACAACATCGACACCAACATCAACACTAACAACAACCTCAAAAGCAACAATGTTTCAAGCAATTTCAGCTGCAACAATAACAGCAGCAACAACAGTTGCAACAGTGACGTGAGCAGTAGTGTTGGCATGCAAAACGTTTGCGGCAAACAAATAACACAACAACACCTGCAACACCAACACAACCAACATCAACAACTTATAAGGCCTCTGTATCAGCAACAGCAGCAACAACAATATAATTATCGTCATCCTCATCAGCAACAACAATTTCATCAACAAGAACAACATTTTCAACAACAACACCATCTTCAACATCATCTACGACAACAGCAACAATGTTTTGCAACAATATTATCTCAACACATCATTTGCGCTCCTCAGGGCTTCCTCAGACCAAACGTCAGTTATGCCTACGGAAAGGTAATTGTGTTGCAGCGTGGACGGAATAAATTATGCAAATTAGTTAACTTTTTATTATTGCAAAAATAAGATTGTTTACCATTGGGAGCTTGAATTAATTGGAATTAGGAAAATAACCGTAAAATAAACCAAGTTGTTTCATTATGATATGTTTCATCATTATTCACCAGAGAGCTGAAATAAACGTTGCTTAACCAAATCAATCAATAATAAATCGATCAATTAATAAATTAATTGTTGACCAATTAATAAAACGATTGCATCGTATTATAACTAAGCGTTTCAGAGAAAATATGTACAAATTTTAAAAACATTCAATCTCATCTTCACAATTTACTAACGAATTCCTAATTAAATAATTAAATTAATCAAATATTCATTTAAATTAACAAAACCCCATGAAGGTGAAACTGATGTTGAAGATATCCTCGACTGCATCTGACCATTCAAACCCGTCCAATCAGCCATCTTGTCTCTCAGTTGACCCATTTAATAGACAGGTCACAATGTTTGACCCAGTTTCATCGCTAGCCACTCACAAACCACCTCAGTCCCCTAAAACTTTTGTCTACGATTCAGTTTTTTCATCGCACGATGATTTGGTTAGTTTTTATTGTTTAATCGATTTCTAGTTGATTTACTAAAAATTGAGCCATATAGATGAATGGTTTGGAATAGCACACTTGAACAGAACAGATTGATAGAAGCAACTGAACAGTGAACATACAGATGAACGGTTTGACAAAATGGGTGAGATTTATACGAGCGCAGATGTTGTACAACTGGATGGGAGAAAGTACTAAGCCGAAAGAAATATTTTCAGCACACTTGTTAAAATATATGAAAAGTTGTGAAAAAAATCAAAGTTAACTATTAAAAATAAACAAACAACTTACTAAAATAAATAAATTGAAAAACATTTAGCCACACATATCGTTGTTTAAACCTTGTAATAAAAAAAGGATACAACTTGAATGTTGGATAGATGAGCTGTGAGCACATGCACAACCAAAATAATTTTAAAAAACTGCATTAGACAAAGAGTCAAACGATAAAGAGTTTAACAAATTGGCTGAAGTTTACTTTGAACGCGGGATAATTTAATGCAATGAACCAATAAACCGTAACTTGATACGTGCACACAAAAACAAGCACACATACAACTTCAAACACGTGGCGGTAGAAAGTGAAATAAATATATAGACACAAATACATAGAGTGACAGAGAGTGAGATGAAGACATGGAGACATAAAAAAATAAGTGATAAAGAGGCAACCTTCCGACAATAAATTATAACGAAACACTCCCGCTTTTGAGACAATGCCTAAGTGAAGTTCCATCGGTTTGTTGACAAAGATAAATAAAGAGTATCACAATGGCTGAGACGTTTGAAAATTTTTTCCTTTTTTATAAATAAATCATTTAAGAAAAAAAATCTATCTAGTTAATATTACGTTAACATTTCCTCAACAGAAATCAATTTGTAAACAAGCTCTCCCCGACGTCATTCACGCCGTTGTCAATGGTTACGATGGGTGCGTTTTTAATTACGGACACGCAAAACTCGGTTTGGACCGATTTAATTAGAAAATTATTTTTTCTTGTTATTACGTCGTAAGCGAGAATGTTGATGATGTGTTGAGATGTTGTCGCTATTTTGTTGATGTTATTGTCAGTGCTTGTTCTTCACGTTGTTAGGGTTGTTGTCGCTGTTGTTTTCTAACCAACCAATCAACAACGAGAGACAAGTCGTTGTCGATTGGTTGATTAGTTGCTGACATCAGTTTTATTATAAACTTTGTTACTAGTTTAATAAAGCAACTACTTGAGTTAAAGAATTTCAAAAAAATGCATAACAGGCAAATCATTTACAATGCTCGGCCAAGACCAGCCGTCGTCGTCTTCATCTTCATCATCGCCGTTTCCGCAGTCAGTACCGCCACCATCATCTGCATCTTCTTCTTCTTCATCATCACTGTCGTTGGGCATAATACCGACGGCGATATCCTGGTTGTACCAGTTAATAAGCGAGAGAAGTACGCAGACAGGTATGGGCTATTGCGTGAAGATATCTGCTGTCCAGGTCTTTGGAAGGCAGGAAGTGGTCACTGATTTGTTGTCTGGACTTGTTGGAGGTCAGTTTGATGGTGATGATGATATTGGTGATGATGACGATGATGATGACGATGGTGGCGGTGATGATGACGCAATGGCGATGATGATAGTGATGATGGCGATATCCATACGATGATGACGATGATGTTGTTTATGTGTATGATGAGAAAATCATTAGTGGCAAACAGTTGATTAAGATAAATTGGCACTCGTACAAAAAAAAATTAGAAACCTATTGACTCATTAAAAAATGTAAGTACGTAAATTATACAAGTGAAGAAGATGACGATGATGACGACGCTGTCAATGAGGAATGCCCACAAAATCAATCGTATACATAAAATGCTTTTTCGGCAAGTTAAAACTAGACTACAATGAAAATAAGCCAAACCATCCAACCAACCAACAAACAAACAAAACAAACAAACAAACAAAACACTTGAAACAACCTCACAACAGATTCGATAAAAACTCTGAAGGTCACATACGACCCTTTGCGTGGCCCCTTCATGGAACAACCAATCGAATTGAGGGCCCTTTCCATAGAACAAGCAGCTTATTATCTCGATACCGCCATTAAATCAAAAACCACTTCTGGTTAGTTTTATGACGTAATCTGTGACGTAAGCATGACTTAATCTTGAATTTGATAGCGTTATGAGTTGCTACAATACATTGGAGGTATATATATTTCTTCTTATGTGACATCAATTTGTCATTTGACCGATAAGAGTTGTTTTTTTGGTATTTTTAAAAGTTGTTTGCCTACACATCTATCCTGCCTTTTTTACACACAATCGCAAAGAATTTTTTTGTTTAGTTAGCACGATAACATGCATCTACATAGATTAAAATATGCAACTATTTTGACATGATGAAAAGGTTTTTTTGTGTTACTCATTTTTTTCTTATTCCTCAAAAGTTCGATTCCAACTTAGATATATTTATTTTTATACTTTTATACTTTTATTTCCAATTGCAACATCTCGTTCATCTCGTTGTTTGCATGCACGCAGAGATCAAAGAAGACTGGAGGAATTCTCATTTCATATTCACACTTCACCTCTATCATTATAAAGGTCGGCTGTTCGAGGCCCATGCTAATGACGGTGAAGATAAAAAAATGAATGAATGAATGGATGAATGGACGGACGGACGAACGAACGAATGAATGAATGAATGAATAATTAAATAAATAAATGAATGAATGAGTGAGTGAGTGAATAAATTAATAAAAAAATCTGATTTTAAATTTTTGAAATAATATAAGATTAAATAAATGAAAGAATTGTAAAATGTAAAAATGTGAAACAATGTAAAAACTGTGTAAACAATGTGTAAAACCAATGTAAAACATTGAATAAGTTGTTCATTATATCATGAGCTTTGTCCGTAAAAAATATTTTTTATAAACAAATAAAAATTAAATAATTTAAGTGGAAATAATTTAAATCAATTGAACAAATTATTTGAATTAATATATAAGATCATTGAAATATTGTGCCTGTAAGTTTATTTTGTGTGAAATATAACATTTCTCACCAGACCAATCGGTGTTGACGAACCACACTCGACTGCATCTGCTGGACCTGGGCAGTTGCAGCAGGACTCGCGAAGGGACGTCACTGAACCTCTCTGCCCTTGGCATGCTCATTTTAGCGGTACTTAACGGACAGAGGAATATACCGTACAGGTTTGTGTATGTGTGTGTGTTTTTTGTTTGTTCGTGATTCTCTTTCTTTGTTCGTGAGTTTGTAAGTAGCATCTCGTTAGTTGCCTCTTTTAATGAGCCGGTGTGCGTGTAGGTATAATAATGATGTAATGTGTTTGTGTACGCTTGCATCCAGCGTCAGTTCTTCCTGATTTTAATACTGGGATGTTTTATTAAATATCATTACGTTTTTCTTGTCACCATTATTATCATCGTTGAAACTATCACTGAATCCAGAGAAAGCAGGTTGGCCCATTTAATTAAAGACTGCCTCGGAAGTTCATCGTGCCACGTGACCTCACTAGTGCACGTGAATAGCAATCCGCTCCTTTACAACGAATCCCTCCAGATCATGCAGATAACTTCTCGATTGAACAAACTAAAAATCCGGAAGCGGACCAAGCCGGCCACTTCCGCTTCAAACTCTGAAGATGGAATGTCGGTTCGTTCGTACAGGCAGAGACGTGGAGTGAAGATGGGCACGTTGAGAGATTCTGCAGCTCTCTTTTACAGCAGTGCTTGCGAGGGAGGGTTCTACTCATCCGGAAGTGAAATGTCGGTACTTGAAAACTTCGGTAACAGCGGTACCGAAAGCGATGCGGACCATCGATCGTTCGTTAATTCAATCCCCCCGTCGGTTTCCGGATCGTGTGCTGCGTTGGATCCCGTCATGGAATCCAATTACGAGTCGACTGGTCATCAGCAAAATATTCGACCGCAACAGCTGACCGTTCAACAGCAGCACACGAATCGATACTACCACGATAAGTTGTTGCAACGACAGCGATACCGAAATCGCACGAATAATCGCTCCCCGCCATCATCAACTGTTTCCGCTCCGGCCTACCAACAACACAAACCGTTATCCGAGCGCACGAATTCCAACGACGTCGATTCAAATAATTATTTCAAAAAGTATCGAATCAACAAAAACTCTCAAATATTCTCGCCCCACCTGTCCACTTCCATATTGTCCTCTCAGGAAAAATGGGTCGACGGTCCTAATGCATATTATTCAAATAATCATGCAACTAGGTCATCCAATCAGAATCGAGAAGAACAATGGGTGGACGGCCCTGTTGAATTTAGAACAACCAATCAAAGGACATCTCCCAAAATAGCCACACCTTCATACTCGAAAATTGTTAAACTGGCAACGATGACCAATGGTTATGAAGATCAGAACTACACTGACAGTTATAGTAATAGTTTTGGTAAAAATAATTTTTGTTACAAAAATAGAAATAATAATGACAATGATGTTGATGTTGTTAATGGTTCGGGAGATGATGAAAACCCCTGGTGCATAGATCTGCACGGGGCAAATAACCCACCCAACAAAAACCAAAGTGACCACGAAAACATTGACAGTAACAACGTCATTGTCAGTGACGACAATGTCAAGGACAAAAACGGCTACGATGCAAGAATGAATCAACCAATCATCTGCACTCCAAGTAGAACAAACAAACCAATCATCTCTACCCAATCTGGCGCGCTCAAGAAACCATCACAAAACGAACCGATTCGCGCGCATCACGGCATCAAGACAGGGACCAATTCCCCATTTGTAGAGGAAACGGAAACATCAAAAGGCACAATAACAAGAGAGAACGGTGAGGGCCGAGAGAGCAATGACGTCATAAAAGAATGTGCACCTGACGAACACAACGTCAACGGTCGTCATAGCAGCCGTAACTTTTTTAAGAATGACGATGAAAACAATTTTCAAAAATTGACTGCTGCGTCCAACACCAATGCTAGTGAAAATAACGTTAATTATAACAACAGTTCTAACTCGGCTGCTTCTGACTCCATGAACTTCAATGCTAGCACTAATATTTTACGAAAAACATCTTCACAAGCTTTAGCGATAGCAACATCATCATCGTCAGCGTCTTCTTCATCATCATCTTCATCATTGACGACCACCACGCCCGCAGCAGCAACAATCACGACGACAACGAAGACGACGAAGATGACGACGACGACGACGATGATGATGATGATGGAGAGTAGGGAGTCAATTTACGAAATGCAGATGAATGAGAATTTGGAAATGTCTTCAAGTACTGCCAGCATGAAGAAACTCGTCCGCTCAAATGATGACTACTACTATGATGATGATGATGAGATGGATGATGATGACACGTACGCGAAACATGGTGATGATGTTGCTAATGGTGATGATGTCGATAACAGCGTTAGCCGAAACATTGTACTCAGTGATAATGCTATTAAAAATGGTGATGATGATGGTGATAGTTATGTGAACGGAAGATGTGACGATGAAGATGAGGATGAAAAATCTGTTGATGATAGTGATGGTGGCAATAATTTTCTCGTACCTAATTTATCGGAGCAGTGTGATAGCATCTTTAATAAAAACACCATTCTCAACAACGTAAACAAAAGTGCCAATAACATGAACAGCATTCCTAACGAAGCTAACAACTTTCCCCAATCTACATTCATCAGTGATCGCATCAACAACAACAACATGAAAAACAGTAGCAACAACGCTTACAAAAAAAGCATTACCACAAACGTTAATAACCAACCGGGTAATTACAGCAATGTTGGTAACAACAGCAACAGCAGCAGCAACAACATAACCAAACATGCACGCATATCCAAGCTACCAATGTTAAGTTTGACGAAATGTGCACCACATTCCACGCAGCAGCAATCAACCCGCTCAATGAAACCATCAAATACGGGATTCCCCACTCACGTAACGTCCGATGATGGTGAGATGGAAGGTGCGTGTTTAGCAACAACAACAACAACAGCATTAACTGCAACATCGCCAAATACATCAACAACAATTGCAGCTGCAACATCAACAACTTCATCATCAACAACAACAACAACTGCAACATTATCAACAACAACTGCAACAATATCGACAACGAAGACAGCTCAAACGAAGACGACAACGATTCCAGTTTTAAAGCAGTCTCTTATTAATTTACCAGCGAAATTATCTGCTGCGTCGTTGTCATCATCGTCATTCATTTCAGCACCAAAGTCACCAGCAAACAAAACAAATGCGTCTAAAACAGTGGAAATACCAACAATAGTGGCAACAACGTTATCAACAGCATCAACGATAGCAGCTACAACATCAGCAACATCAACAATAACAACAACAACAACGATAGCAGCAACAACATCAACCAAACCCGAAGGAAAACAAAAGTTCTTACAGAAACTGAGAACACCTTTGTTTTTCAGAAGCAAAAAAACTTCACAGCATTCATCTGATACGCCAAAACAACAAGTGCTACTAAAACAACAAAACCCTCAACAACAACAACAACACGAAAAAACAAGGCCACTCCAACAACACGCTCAGCATTTCCCTAATGGCAAACTCGTGAATAAAATTATAGTTGAGAGTAATTTAAAAGCATCGAGCAATAAACATAAACTTTCTTTTTTCAAGCACACTTCTAAAATTACTTCTCTGACGTCATCACCAACGTCATCACCAACAATATCACCTACAACATCAAAAACAGCAACACCCACACCAACAAAACCCACCAAAACAGCAATCGTTTCTCCATCCAAGCTACCGACATTCAAGAACAAATCATTTTTCTCGAGCGGCAAAACGAAAGCAACGAATGCGACGACGACAGCTGTGACGTCATCGCCTGCTTCATCATCGTTATCACCACCGCCACCGATGACATCTTTATTACCGTCATCGTTGTCATCGTCAACCACGCCATCATCCATGCCGACAGCAGCCGTAAAAAGCCATTCCGACTCTGGCATATTTGATGAAGTGTTTCCACTCACAGCAACAACTGCATCGACAACAACCTTCGAAGTGTCAACAACGACATTAACGTCAACAACGGAAGTGACAAAATCAGCGTCACTGACGACGTCTACAACTTCGTCGTCGTCGTCGTCGTCCTTATCGTCGAAAAAAGTTATAAGATTAGTGTCAGAAGATGACAAATTGTTCACAATTTCAGACAAAAACATCGGCGATATAAACAACGATAACAATGGCGGCAACATCACCACCGAAAACAACCTCAACTTGTTGACAACATTAGAAACTGATCAAAACGTTGCTCCAACTCTTCCTGCCAACATCAACATTAATGTTGCGGACATTAAAATTCAGAAATGTTGTTCCGGGAGAGAGTTTAAAGGTGATGACAGCAGCAGTTGTTGCAATCAAAACAAAATTTACAGAAACGTTCGAATTAAAAATAGCTGTAACTTTTACGAAACTGCAAAATTCGGAGAGACGATGAAAGGTTGTTGACTATTTCAAAATTTTCTTCGGTTTATTATTACTATTATATGAAGATGTATAATGATTATCGTTGAAATTTTATTTAAACCCAATATCCAAGTTTCGCAACACTTTTTATTCACCAACTGAATAAATGAAATTAAATTTAAATTTGACGTGAAAAATTATTTTCAGAGCGTAGCAAATCGGCAACTTTAACTTCCAACATAACACCCATCCCTACTTTATCACGTGTCTGTAAAAGTGATGTCATCAAAAACATAACCAAAGATAGCAAGTTTCTTAACGGAATAGGATCAAGATTGTCAAATTGCAAGAGTCTCAGTTTTGAATGTTGGTTATTGTAAATAATAAAAAATTAATTTTGGGATGGAGAATTTTGTTGTAAAAATTAAACAACACGTTCAGTAGTGGTTTCATAATCTGTTTAGTTAGACGCATTGAAAACAGACTAAAGTTGATCTCAATTCTCGAGGCGCGCATTTTAAAATATAAATAAATTTAAATCAGTAACCAAAAAAACAGTATAAAGCATAAAAAATAATCTTCGCTTTAAATTAATTCCAGTTATTCCGGGAACAGAGGAGGCCGCCAAGCGAATAAGCCATAAAAATGTGGAACAGCTTACAAGGACTGCCACGGCAAATTCCACGGCGAGGTCAAAGTTCGCGGCCGTTGCCAACTGTTTTGATGTCAATTGCGTGCCATAGAATTTATTTTTTCCACCTAGAGTTGATTTTGAAATCCGCATCTATTCATGCATGTATGTATTGTATGTGTTCATGTTTTTTTTTTATTTAAATTATCATTATCATTTATTACTTTTTTTGTTATTTATAATAAATAACAGTTTTTTTTATTTAACTTTGTTATGAACTGTTTTGAGCGTTTTTGATTTAAATAAATAAAAACATGTACTGCTGCCTGCATGTGCTGTATTGTATACTATCTGAGCTGAGTGCTGGCTGGCTGGCTGGTCGCGATACGTTTTTTGTTCGCGTCGCAGTATGAATGGAATCTTCTGGTGAATTAAGTTTCAATCGTGTTTACTAACTTCTTTCTCTTATTGTTATTAATGTATATTTATAATACTGTTATTATTACTACTTTTATTATTGCTGTTATTATTATTATTATTATTCCTTTTTTATTTATACATTTTCGTAATTAGAGCTCATCCTACATTGTAGAGTGGGTAGGGTACTGTAATATTCTACATTAATTTTCAACTTTTCATTTCAACATTTTAAATTTCAATAGCAATGCAAACAACACTGTTTTTGTCACATTTACGTTGAAAATGAAGTCGAATCAGGTACGCATAATTTTCATAGAATTTGTTCTCTTTTTTAAATGTAACAATAAAATAAATAGAACGAATTACTTCTAATGTTAAAATAAACCCGTATATAAAGCCATATAAGTACTCGATGAAACTACACAAATGTCGGTTTAAGTCTCAAGAAATATCAAACATATCAGCAATTAAGTCATCAAGTTAAGCATTCGTTAACTTCGAGTGTTACTTATGTTAAACACTCGTTAGCAGCAACATTTCAACTTGAATATATATACAATGAAAAATTGTTCAAGCAAACAAATAATCAGGCTCAGTTGAATTATTTAACATGTAAATTCGTACATTGTTTAATTTTTATAAAAAGAAAAATCACCAATAAAATAAAAATTTTAAAACTGAACTACAATCTCATTATAAACATTTTTGTTTCTATTATTTCAAGAAATGCCGTTGAAAATTCAGCACACTTTTAGATGCAATAAAATGAAACAATAATCTTGGTAAAAAAAAGTTATGGATAGCATAAATTTCAATTAGAACAAGGAACAACACCAAGCTATTTTATAAAATGCGTGAAAATAACTAGCGCTAATAAATTCTCGAGTTATTCAGAAGCTCCGTACATACAGGTGCACCTGAAAAGTTACCTGTATAAAAACCAATCAACTTTGCAGCATAGAGCACGACAATGCAGTTCGAGTTTTTTTGTTTTGGAAGAATGAACCATGATTAAATTTTAATTACAAAAATTAAAAAAATTTTTAATAAATTAATCTACTATAAAATCAATTGTTTGTATGAATGTTTATAAAACATATAATATAGTATTAAACATTGAATTGTATTGATATATAATGTATTGTATATAAAAACGAATAGAGTTATAAACTATAACAAACGAAGCATGAATCACATCAAAAGCGAAAGTGAGCAGATAAAATTTGTAATTAATCAATAAATTGCTTTTAAATATTTGTTACAATGACGTGGCCATCACCTTATAATAATCGCATCGCAATCATCGTCGCTTCCATCGCCGCCGTGGTCGTCATTCTCACTCACCCAATCGCGTTTGAATAAAATCGGGGAATCGGCTCAGACATCGTAATCTAAAATAGCTAGCATAGTAATTGAGTTTGGAGATGAATCAATATTGCAATAAAATACACTGCTGAAACAAAACAACATGCCAGCTAATACAAACAAACGCACAAAGTACAGTTAAAAATAAACACACACACACACACACACACACACACACACATACATAGAAAACTCAACCAAACTAGTCCAAAGACGCACATGACACATTTGGTGCATGGTAACATCTGAAAAATGTCATCATTGGCACTGTTTTCTTCTCTTCATTTTTTTGCCTCACCGCGCGTCATCTGTATTTTTATTTTCTTTAAATAACATTAAGCTTAATATCAAGATATCTTTTTTCTTGTAAAGAAGATGTCGTATAAAAATTGTTTATAGAATATTTGACGTTTGTTTCAAAATTCAAGTGCGTGTTTCAAATTTGATAAATCGCTCAACTAGTTCATAATAGTTAAACTACTTTTTAGTTGTTCATATTTTTTCAATGAATATATATGAAACCGTCAAAACATAGAACATGTTCAACCTTGAACTTTGAACTTTTTCAATTAATTTATTTTTGTACTTTAACAGAAAAATTTGTTTAGGCATGTAATATAACGTGAACCAACCTAAAAACGTTCGTTGAACGATTTTAAAGTTTTATTTGACAAATTTATCAAAAACTCATCAGGTTTGTTGGTTATGCAAATTAAGGTATTTAAGAAATGTATGAATTATGATTGAATGAATGAACGAGTGATAAATGAGTGAAAAAATGAATGAACAAATGATGAACGATCTAAAAATATATAAATGAATGTACGAACGAATGAGTGAACAAATAATAAATAATTAAACGAACGGACGAACGAACGAATGAATAATTGAACAAATCAACGATAACACAGCTACACAACGATCACTTAACTTGCCACAGACTAATAAAACAAAATCAACGAATAACTAACTAACTACATTTGGTAATATACTATTGAATTTGTAAATTAAAACCGTTAACCCTTTACATCCTCATATGTATTGACGCTATACAGCTTTAACTTTATTTTCAGTACAAGCAGAAAATGATAGCACGATGATGTACAGTAGAGGCAAGTATTTATGTAGTTATACACATGTTTACATATTTTAGATTTTTCTCATTAACATAAGTTGTAAATAAACTAGGCAGTTTTTTCTATCGCGTCGCTTTTTAAAACATCAGATGAGCGAAGATGCGAGGTGTTAAGTTTGGATCAAAAATTAGGCAGTTGAATTTTTCGACTGACCATTTTAACTTTTTAGTTCAATGTTTTGTAAAAATTAATTTAAAAATTTTGTAAAAATTGTAAAAACTAGTTGAAAATTTTTTTACTTATGAAGTTCCAACAATGTTATAATTAGTTACAACGTATCTTGGGGTTTTTTAACCATTTTTCATAAGAGAAAAATAATTAAGTTTAAATGTAACCTCTGACTTTAGTTATAAAAATAACTCCTCTAACGAAATCATATTTCAATGCACGCATACTGTTTCTATAAAAAGACTCATTAATATTCAGGCAGCAATTAAAATGATAGATCTGCGTGCAGTTGATACGCTAACCGCTTAATATTGACAGCAGATGTGCCTTACTTAATAAATCAAATGTGACTTTGTTAAAAACACGCATCAACTAATTCGAAAAAATGTATTTAAAACGCAAACTTTGTAATAGTCATTTAAATATGATGTATAAATCCAGTTGAGTTACAAACTTTTAGGTTAATCCCTTTTATATATTCTTCAAAAATTCTAATAATATTTATGTTTTTGGTTAAATTCATCTCAAAGATTTGTTTAAAGATTTGTTATGCGCGTTATGCGTGCACTGTAAGTATCCGTGAACGAGAAATCAGAACTGTTGAATGTAAATATTTTCATAAAAAATTTTAAACACTACATTGTCTCAACGTATTGGACGGAACTTTGCTCTTAGAATTTTTTTGAATGTTTATTTCATTTACTTATAAGTTTATCAGGATATTGTTGAATGTTTTTTTTTATTTATTTATAAAATTAGAGATGTGTGTTTAAATTTTATACATTTTAATAATGTTACAAATAATACAAAATACTATTTAAAACAGGAAGCCTGGATCGTTTGTGAACAAATTTCATTGACTGTCAACTTGTATGCTCTGATCATTACTAAAATTAAAAATATGATGGCGTTGCAGAAACAATGGTTGTACGTGCTGATCATCGTCATCTTATTTTCTGCCTGTCTCCACAAGGTTTACCATATATCTTATGTTGATGAGATGAAAATTAATTATTCTAAACAATCAGCGTTCAATTATAAAAATATTAAAAGGCCAGGAAATGACGTAAGAACGTGGAAAAATGCTGAAATTGGAGATGATGATGACAATGTTGTTGGCGAAGTTCGTGACGAAAATTTTGGTGGTGATGCTACTAACCGTAATAATTATTATGGTTCTACAAACAATAATCTACCTAAAAAGAAAAGACGACATAAAGGTGATGGAAATAATTTTCAGACATTAAAAACCGGAACAAATGATTCTTCGACAATCGGTAACCGAAATAACCTTAACTCAAAAGATAATGAAAGAAAAATGATTCTTAGTGATACCTCGACAGCCAAAAAAACAGTGATTCCCAAATGTCCCAGCGATTTTTTACCGAATGATTCTCAATACCAGTGGTACTTGCAGAGTTTCAAACAACTTTCTCCACTTACTGATAAAAAGTTGAATAAACAAGTCTTACATTTGAATAACAATCCAACAACCACAAGTTTCTTGGACGATATATTAATACTCACTCCCATTTCTAACGTTAAAGATAAATTAAGACATTATTTTTCAAACCTATGTTCACTCACGTACCCCCACGAAAAACTTTCCATAGTTCTGGCCGAAGACTCCAGCGTTGACCATACTCTCATTGAAGCTACGGCTTTGCGAGATTATCTCCAACCGTATTTCAAGAGCATTCGCATTATACCGCTGAAAGATGGACAGCCCAACTCTGGCGGAAACATTCGTCACGATAAATCGTACCAGGAAGTTAGGCGGAAACATTTGTCGAAAGTTAGAAATCAAATGCTGATGAGTTCGCTCGAAGAAAAGTTCAAATGGGTCTTCTGGTTAGATGCCGATGTCAGGTTGGTTTCAAGAAATCTAAACTAATCATTCAAATAATTTTGTTGACACACCATTACAAATGTTTTTTTTTATTTTGCTTTCATTATTTTTTAAATGCAACGATTTTTACTATTAATACGACCAAATCACAACTGTAATATCGCAAGTTGTTGTGTTATGTTATTATTTAATGTAACTGTAGTCATCAGTAACACTCCTATTTTGTTACAATTACAAATACTGTTATAAACATTGGTTGCTAGATCAAACATTGATCATTAATTGCTACGACCAAACACTCTGCGACTAAACAAACAATCTGCACAACCACCACCTTAGACATATACCGACGAACGTGATCGAGCACCTGCTATCAGTGAACCAGACAATAGTGACCGCCAACTGCCTGTACCGCAAGGACAATGGTGAGTTGGACACATTTGACAGAAACACGTGGCAAGAAACGAAGAATTCATTAGCGGCATTGAGCAAGATGCCAGAGGATTACTTGATGCTGGAGGGGTACGGACCGTCCAAAAGATTCTTTCTCAATGACTTAAAAGGTTTGCTGCTGTTTTTTCTTTTTTAATTATTTTGGTTATCACTAAATCTTTCATTTCCATTATTATATTATTATTTTCATCACCAACCATCAGCAAGCTGAATGAAAGTTGTCGAAAGTGATTATTTATGCCGACATTGTGTAAACGACGCTGTAGAAAAATATTATGATAAGTTAATGATGTTATGTCGGATTAATTTACTTTTCATTAACTCGTGCACTCAATGTTAATAAATATATTTTTTTTCATGTATGCATTATTCTTTAAATTCCAAGAATTTCTAAATTATCAAATGTTTATGAACAAAAAATAAAACTTATTTGTATAATGAAAATGGTTGAACAATTATATGAAACCATTTCACAAAGCAACACACGCACACTCGCCTAAAGAAATGTACAAACAATCACTTGACAGCATTTGAATACGAAAATGACGATGGAAAGGCAGAAGCAGAAAAGAATATCGCCACAGCAAACAACAATCTTGCAAACAACAACGTCCAATCAAGACAACAAAACAACGGGTTTCCTTCAATCCAACCATCTAAGGAAAAAAGAACAACCAAAAAAGTTGAATCAGGAAGACCAGCTGAGTTGGACGGAGTTGGAGGTTGCGTCCTTCTCGTCAATGCCGATCTACACAGGAAGGGACTTATTTTTCCGCCATTTTTATTTCGTCATCACATAGAGACTGAAGGAATGGCTAAGATGGCGAAAGAGATTTTTGGCGCTAAAATATTTGGACTGCCACGTGTTTACATAGTACATTGGTAACCATCTAAATGACTGTTGCGACAGAAAAATTTTGAATAAAATCTTTATAAAGTTAAAATTTATTTTGAATGTTGAATTAGAATAAAGAGTTTAACTTAAAAAGATATAGATTTTGTATCTAAGCAAACCAGGCTACCTGGTTGAATGTATGGTAAGGTTTTTAATTATAACTAATAAATGCATTTTCATTATTGTTCACATTATTCAATTTTTTGTTTGTCTAAAAAGCCCTTTTGTAAATTAAAAAAATTGATGAAGTAGGATATTTCGACATATTTGGAATGATTAGACAATTTCCATTAGAAATCATTAGTTTGGGCCCGTCTGTGACCAGCAGTCCAGAAGCCATTTTCATTTGTGCAATGCCATCATGAATTTTAAAAATTATATAATTTTACGAGCATTTAGAAAAAATCATTAATTTTTTAAATTTGCTGTAAAAGTGTGCAATCAGATTGTTCAAAAAAGCTGGCGTGTCGACAAATGGGAGATTGGCTGCTAGCTCGGCACATTCGTCGAAGGCCTTGCCTGCTTGTCTGCATTGAGTTGCTTATTTGGCATCAACTTCAAGCATCTGCCTTCTACATTCGAAAAATTAGTTGGACCTCCTTCGAGTAAAATTAATGATTATTTATGATAATTTGTCAAGTAATGCTAAACTCATTATTATAAAAGTTAGTATTGTTATGCTGAATCCACGTTTGCTAGACAGACAAATTAGAAAACTCAATTTTCCAATTTTGTTTATAAAAATTATACCGAAGACACTATATGCAAATTCTTTTTATTTACACAATGTGTATATACCTGACATTGTATATTGTATATAATAGTTGTCTATGCATTAAACAAAAATTACAATTATTTGTTAGTAATATGAATGTTAAAATCGAGTTGAAGCTTCTGTCATAAATTCGTCTCAGTTTCAAATTTCCAATTGAGTTTTTTGCCCTGTATTGAAAATTCTATTAGTGAAACGTGGCTACAATATACGTGGCCGGAAGAAAATTTAACGGAACATCAATGAAATACGTGGCTAAAGATTATGTGGCCTGTGCAGTGGCTTCTGCTACTGCAGTAACAATAATGAGTGTGGATTTTAATATCTTAATGTTTCTTCATCCAGATTTTTAATGAATTGAATAAAAATAATAAGTCATTTAAAACATTCAACAAGTTTTTATCAACTACAGCAATTCTTCATACGAAATAATAATTTTGTAGCTATGTAACCTAGCCAATGAATGTCAGATTAAGTTGTACGTTTTGCGATCAGGTGAGAGATCAACGGAGTGAATAGAAATGTTTCGATTTTTCAATATTAGTTCAAGTTGAACTTGAAAAAATTTTTCAAAAATTTCTCAAGAATTAAAATTTTTACGAGAAAACATCAACCTAACATTCCTTATGAAAAGAAAAAAGTACACTTCAAACGATTAACTTTGGACGAGGTTTTCTCGATCGCTGAAATAATAATGAAATAATTTTTAATTTTTTGTTAGCAACTACTGATAAATAATTTAATTTGATGGTTGTTGATTGAATGATGTAGGCTTCAATAAATGTATCTATTTACACTTCCTCGCAAGCGTTTTGTTATTAATCTAATTTATTCTCAACATTTCTCAACCTAGCTTTAAACATTTTTATTTTTTCAGTAATTTTTTCTATTTTATACAAATCAATTGATCTGTAATTTTATTAATTTGTTTGAAGACATTGGTTTTTTTGTCTTTTAATTTTTATTCTCGATTTAAAAAATAAATAATTTTGCAGTAAATATTGTAAAAATTTTCAAAAATTGAATTGGATCATTAAGAATAATTTTAATTCATTGTATTTTGAAAAATAATTCTTTGCTATTCACAAAAGTTGGCAGAGAAGGCAGTTGTTCAAGGAACAAAGAAGGTCGTTGAACATGAATTTGTCGCCAGCGACAAAACTCCACACAACCTTCATCGCCTAAATTGTTTGGTTCGCCAGGAGCCCAATTTTTTGCTTCAGTCACATTTTTGTATACGCATATTTCATCCAAGAACATAGAAGCTCTGAATATTTTCCAATTAAAAACGTCACTGGTACCTTTCCTGTGGCCGGCCGTCCAGAAACTTTCCGATGCCAATACGGTTGACGTGCATTTTGCTGCATGGTTTCGATAAAAAAAATTTTATCGCATATCAATCAATGATAACTTAATTATCTAACAAAATTCAAAGACAATTCATCAAATGTAGATAATAATAATCTCCAACAAACCTTTATAGTTGTTTCCGAGAAAATCACTCAAACCCTGGATAACAGCTGGTGTATCTACGATAGCCAGACTGGCTCCCAGTTTGATGCATTATTTCGCAGCATCATCCCAGTTCATCTGCCTGTCCACAACTGTTATACACCTGCCTCCAATTCTTGAAAAGCTTTTTGGACATCCACCTACATAGTTTAACAACTAATTTTGATCAATTATTTTTTGCAGATAAATAGCTCAATTTAAAATTGTTGAGAATTGAAATAACTAATGATCATGAAATATAAAAAGTTGTTCATTTACTACATTCAACAGAGGAAGCACAGAAAATGAGCAGACTCAAGATTGACAGAACTTCTTTGAACACAGCCATATTCTTCGATGTTTATTCACTTCATTCGCAAACCAGTTCACCTTTAAATAGGCAACCATCATACTCGCAACGGTGATATTGTTATTTAATTCATTCCACACAAAACACATCATTGCAAACGATAAATTGCTTTTACACCTCATAAAAATTTGCATTATAGTAACGTTATAATTGATCGGAGAAACGACCATTCAGGTAGTTTTTACTGCATGCTCTGCACGTTTGAGATGTTTTGAAAAATTTTTCTCCTTATTGATTGTGCGTAAAATATTTTATTACGCAACACAACGTGTTTTTCTGGCGCAAACAAGTTGAGAGGTATGACTGCCATCTTCTGGTTTTTATGACGATCGGGTGTTCATCATTCTATTGCAATCCTTTTTAAACTGCCATTATATTTTTTTACAATTTATTTATTATTTTTATTATTATTATTATTACGTTAAACAAAGGCAAAGACGAAACGTCCCTGTGCCTTCTCAAAACTAAGACAATTTTAAAACAATAAATTAAATAAACCTATGAGTCTATACTGAATTAATTAATGTTCTTATAAGTCAAATAATGTATTAAACCTTGTAAAAAAAAGATAATAAAAAACAAATATTATTATAATTTTGTATAAAGATAATAAAAAAAAACAATATAATCCTTATTTATAGTCCTTGTAATATTACCATTGATTGCTGAAACTGCTTGCCACTTTTTACAGACGTTTGTTTTTTTAAGCATCAGACCTAAGTACAGTGAAGCATAAAAAGTTTATCAGTTTTTATCATCATCATTACTATCATCATCAACAACAACAACATCATCATCATCACCATCATCATTACCATCATCAATAACAACAGCATCATCATTAACATCACCATCATCATCATCACCATCATCAACAAAAACAACATCGTGATCACTATTATTGTTATCATTAACGTAAGCAACATCATCATCATCAACGTAAGCAACATCATCATCATCATCCTCACCAACACCAACAACATCATCATCATATTATTATTATCATTATCCTCATTATCACCATCATCATAAACATCGTCGTCGTCATCATCATCATCATTGTCGTGGTAAAGTGGTTGTCACCGATGTAGTTACCACCTTGGCTGCATAACGCAAGTACAGCCAGCATCGATTTTCTAGCACCTCAACACATCCGCCAATGAGCAATTAATAAATATTTTATTATACACCAGCACACACGTTATAAACCCTGGAACTGGTTGCCGGCCTGGTATCTGATGACGTTACTTCTGATAATTTTTTCAACATCATCGTTTCGATGCTTAAGAAACCGCAAACATTCGAGCATTATTTTTATTCTCTACCAGTGAATAAAATACTTAATTTTTGTATATATTCCTTTCGTTGTATCAATCAATATCTCTTATATGTGAACCGATTATCAAGAGCGCTCTTTAATAAATTTCATAAAGTGATGGATCTTGAGATTCGCTCTAAACTTCGCAGGTGATGGAGAAGTAAATAGAGAAAGAGGAGTAAGAAAAGAGTTCCAAAAAAGATCAGGAAAGGCAAACATAGATTCAGCATAGGAGTTTTTGAATAAATACTTATTTTTTAATTAAATTAAATTAAAACTATACTTATTATTTAAAATGTTAGAGTTAAGAAATATTAAAAAAAAACACTCAGTGAGCGATTTAGATAAACTGCTAAGAAAGAAAACATCTCTGTGTAATTGCAACGTCATTATTCAAGTTGCCCATTCTCATTGCATGGATCATTTCTAAGAACCAATCGATCAAACAACCATGTTTTTGTGAGAGATACTTGTGGTATTTTTATTTGCGTAAGTGCAAATTTTAAAAATAATTATAAAAACTACATACATTACTACTGCTACTAGTATTTTTTATGTGGATTGCATGCATGATTTTGTTGATACACTTTGTTGATTGCACCAGACAGCTTTTTTTAAATCATATCTGAATGATCGAAGTTAATCGTAGGAAATCATTGTTAAAGTTTTATCTGCACTTGCGATTTTTATTCGAGCTACTCTAACCAACAACTGCTGTCGACCCTGCTACTGAAGTCATCAATAACAAAATAACAAAAAACCAGCGATCCGACTTTTTCAATTGATTGAAAAATTACAGATCTTATTAATTATTTTCTGAGTAGTTTTTTTTGTTATAACGAAATGAACATAAGAGGTGTTTAATCGGTTGTTTATTTAATTATCGCAATATAAATAACTTAAATAAATAAAGTATGGCTTAATAGGTATAAAGTTTGCACAGTCTAGAGTTAAAAATGAAGAAAGACTGATTGAATTTTTGAATGCGGTTTATTGAAATTAACGTCTAAACAACATTTGAAAACGTTTAAGTCTGTATAATAAGTTTTAAGCCATTTGGCAAATTAGGCAGTTTTTCAGTGAACAAGGAATGTTGTTGAATTGGTATTTTGGTCCATAGTTACGCAGCTCCACACAGTCTTCATCAGAACCGGGGTTGTTTGGTTCACCTGGAGCCCAATTGTTCGCTTCTTTGAGATTTTTGTAAACGATCTCATCGAGGAATTTGGATAGCCTGTAGATTTTCCAGTTGAAGACACGATCTGTTCTTCGTAGCAGACCTGCAGTCCAGAAACCGTCCGTTTCCAAATATCCACTTATACATTTTCCTACAAAAACAAGTTTTATAAATTGTTAATAATGTTTGAATTTTCAAAACAATTTAAGAAATTAAAATATTATAAAATATAACCGTGATAACTAGAACATGAAACATTCGGCATTCAAACATCTTAGAATTAATAATTACAGACAACCTTTGTTGAAAACATAAATTTTCAAGTTCCATTAAAAATAGTGATCGTGCAATCATTGTTGCTGAATTTTTTGGTTTTGGAATGTCACGTCCATCAGTCAATATAAAATTTTGTTTTAGTCTTCAATTTTACATTAAGCTTTATGCATTTATGCCAGATCTTTTAACCAACAGTCAAAATTTATCAGTTGAAGATAGGAAAAAAGCCGATGTTTTTGCAAATGACTTTTCAGGTTAACATAAACGTTTAAGATGATGGAACTTTTATTGATCCAGTGATACCAGAGGGAGCAATGGAAGAGGTTAAAATAGATAGATACTGAAAAAGTACCAAACCAAAGTAAAAATGGTTTCCATCCTCGTGTGTTATGGAAAACCAGAGACTATTTGCATAAATATTTTCATCAACTTTTTCAACAACTGTACATACAGGAACAATTCCCAATGACTGGAAATCAAACACAATAGTTCCAATATATAAAAAAGTATGTAGAAACTCAGTTAATAATTATAGGCCGTTGACCTTAACATCAACATCCTGTAAGATTTTAAAATTGATTGTGGTGGAAAAAATAAAACATTATTTTTTGAGAAATAATATATTTACTCAAAAACAGTATGGTTTCTTTTCTTAATTTAAATAAACAACGTTTGGCTTAATTAATATAAAGTTTGCATAAACTACGAAAATAGGATAGAAAATGAAGTTAGACGGATTAAATTTTTGCATACAGTCTATTGAAATAATTGTTTAAACAACGTTTGAAAACGTTTAAGTCTTTATAATTAAATTTTAAGCCATTTGGCAAATTAGGCAGTTTTTTAGTGAACAATGTTGGTCGTTGAATTGGTATTTTGGTTCATAGCTACGCAGCTCCACACAGTCTTCATAAGAGCCGACATCGTTTGGTTCACCTGGAGCCCAATTGTTCGCTTCTTTGAGATTTCTGTAAACGATCTCATCGAGGAATTTGGATAGCCTGTAGATTTTCCAGTTGAAGACAAGATCTGTTTTTCGTTTCAGACCTGCAGTCCAGAAGCCGTCCGTTCCTAAAGTTGAACTTACACATTTTCCTACAAAAACAAGTTTTATAAATTTGTGAATTGTTAATAATGTGTGTATTTATTTTCAGAACTATTTAAAGAATTAAAATATTACTATAAAATATAACCGTAATAACTAGAACAAGAAACATTCAGCGTTCAAGCATCTTAGAACTAATAAATACAGACAACAATTTCATTAGAAAATAGTGATCGTGCAATCATTGTTGCTGAATGTCACGTCCATCATTCAATATGAATTTTTTTTTAGTCTTAGAGATCACATCAATTTTAAATATTTAAAATTATAAGTAGCAGATTAAACAGAGATATTTTGCGGTCCAACCTCAACGATACTCATGATTGATTTGAAAAATGGAGAGTGAAAGTATATATTGATAAATGCCATCTTTTGACATTCGGACATGTGCAGATTATTGTTTTTCATGAAGCAAGTCATTCGATCACCAATATAGAATCTTTTCGATATCATTTTATACTATTGCCTGGCAAGTTGTAACAGTTTCTGCGTTTGTCAAATTCTGATTTTTTAAAGAATACTAAAAAAAAGAGGAGTCTGTTTCGTAAAAAATTTTCTCACTGTATTGGTGGCATCAATTTTTCTTACTAATATGCAATCTTCACATTATAATTCAAAATCAATTTATCATCTGATGAGTTTCAATGATAGTTTTTTATTTTTTGTTTAAATAACAGTTCTTATGTTTACTTAGACATCAACTTTGTTTCATTTAATTTGTTTGAGACACTTTATTTTTAAATTTTTTGTTGACAAGGGGTTTGCCCGGGCCATTTTCGCTTAAATAAATAAATAAACCTTTGAAGTTGCTAGACAGGTAGGTAGTCAATCCAGTCAAAAAAGGTTGAGTATCTATGATAGCCAAGTTCGCTTTAAGTTTGTCACACTCATTTACTGCGTCCTCCCATGTGGACTGAGTTAAAACAACTTTCACGCACCTACCACCGACATTTAAGAACTCATTAGGACAAGTATCTCCGCCAGCTGTTGCAAAACATTATTTTTAATAAATAAAATAAAGTCCTTAACAACATTGATAAAACAACGATAATTCGGGATACAAAGAATCATAAAATATTTTATTAACTGAAATTAACAAAATTATACACAATAATTTACTTACAAATGCTGAGGGCAACCAACAATATGAACATTTTGTAATCAGCCATTACAAATGTTTGTTATCAGTGGCGTATAAAATTCAACCCGGCAAAATTTCTTATTAGCGCCCCTTGACCCAAAAAATTCAATTTCTATTAATAATTTAATCAATCCAAAACTAAGTTCAATGCGTTCAATTTTTTAAATTGTGACAAACATGCTAACGATAAAAAAAGTAAATTAAACAAATACATTAACTCTGATTATATTAAAAAGTAAATTATCAAAAATTGGTTACAAAAATCATGTTTACAAACAATTAAAGATTAAAACAATTAAATTAAACAATTAAGCTTACACAAATATTTTAAAAAGTGAAATGTAAAAGAATAGTGTTTAACTTTATTAGATGTCAACTTTTATAGACTTCACAGAAGCAAACTCGTTGATTATCTCTTCAAAATTTAAACTATTCATTTTATCATCTCCAATACTCAGCGATACCAAATTGCAGAATCGTTGTTGATTCAATGTATTAATAGCTCTTTAGTAATTTAGTATTAATTTTAACTTACATTGAAGAGCAACTTAATTAGAAGAGCAACTTGTAAATTAGGAAAAACGCTTGTTCTCCATATTAGCTCACAAGTAGCAATGGTAGACTTATAGTTGGTAAAGTTTGAAGAGCAACTTGAAAATTAGGAAAAACGCATTTGATTATAAATTATCAATTTAAGAAGTACTTCTGATGTTAAAATTGTTGTATCACATGTTGATAGTAGCATTCTGCGATCAAATATTTCGAGATATGATTCACTACACATAACTAGAATAAATATCACGGCCTTCGCTCACTTTTAACGGTCGAAAAAGGAACTTAATTCCAGAGGGGATGAGGGTGATTTTTTATCGTTTGAGTCAAAAGTTACGATCGTATGTATATTTACTAATTTCGGAATATTTAAAATGTTAAAATTTTAATTTTTTTAATTGTTATTCAATGTGGTAACTAATTACTTTTATTTGGTATAAATTTAAAAAAATAAAATCGACATTACCGAAAATAATTAAAAGTAGAAAAAATTGAGGTTCTTTGCATATCCCTGCTTCAACCCATCAATCAATCAATCAATTCAATCAATCAATTAGCTTATAAAGCGCTATTTCCGCGATGTTCAACAGCGCTCCTCAATGAATTTTGAAAACAGATGGGTCTTGAGATCCGCTCTGAACTTCGCAAGTGATGGAGAAATAGTTAGAGAAGTAGGTAGAGAGTTCCAGAGAAAAGGACCAGAAAAAGCAAAAGTAGATTTGGCAAAAGAGTGTTTAACACGAGTTAAGAAAAAGCGAGAAGAAGAAGACGATCGTAAACCGGGGCGTTTAGGTTCAATTAATATATCTGATAAGTACTTAGGAAATAATTTAGATTGAGACTTATACATGAACGTGCAAATTTTAAAAATTATTCTATATTTTATAGGTAGCCAGTGCAAGAGAACAAGATATGGAGATATATGAGAAAAGAAAGGGGCACGAGCAACTAGACGAGCAGCAGAGTTAAAAGCTTTACTTAAAGGATAGAGTATAGAGTCAGGAAGACCATAGTAGAGCGAGTTACAATAATCAATCCTAGATAAGACTAACGAAGTAACAAGAAGGAGAAGAGTAGGATCATCAAGAAAAGGCAAAAGTTTTTTTATTCTACGTAGATGAAAGTAAGAGCTTCTAGCAACACTATTAATCTGAGAAGAGAGAGACATAGTAGAATCAAAGATAAAACCTAGACTACGAAACTTATGAGAGACATCAAGAGTTTTAGAATCAGGTAAGATAATAGGAGGAATAGTAATTGAGTGTTTAGATTTATTAAAACAAATTAATTCAAACTTAGAAGGATTAAGTTTAAGACACATAGAATCAGACCAAGCGATAATCGAAGAAAGACATAGAGATAAATTATGAAGAACACTATTGAGATTAGATGGAGGAAAAGAAGTATAAATATAATAATCATCAGCATATAGTTGACTAGAGAAAGAAAAGTTATTAATAATACGAGGTAGTTCAGAAGTATAGAGTATAAATAGAAGAGGGCCAAGGATAGAACCCTGAGGTACCCCGAAAGTAAGAGTAGAGGAGTTAGAAGTAGAATTATTGAGAACAACAGAAGAAAAACGATTACAGAGATAAGAAGAAAACCAAGATAGACAAGAATCAGTAATATTAAAAGAAAGATGCAGCAGTCTCAAACCTAACCCTAACCCATAAGAAAGTGTTGTAGATTGGTAAATAGGCCTCCCCTTTGTAGATTGGTAAATAGGCCTCCCCTTTGTAGATTGGTAAATAGGCCTCCCCCTTTATTCAGTACCATCAATATCTGAGTTTTAGAACTCCCTAAAAGTAAACATTTTAATATCAAATTTTCATTTTCTTTATTATATAATAAATGTTTTAAATCAAGAAGGAACTAAAATTTTCGATCAGCTTCATTTAGTTGTGCGCGCCTGAAAACTTATCACTAAAAAACAATTTATTTTTGCTCGTGTAATAAATAAAAGTGAATATGTATGTATGTAATAAATAAATAAAAGAACACATTTTTATCGTAAACATGTTATTCAAGAAGAGAAATGTTATTTGAAAATGAAAAAATCTTGTCGATACCTTTATAACGTGACAAGTGGTGAAAATAATCGATTTGCTTCTAAGGGACGCAAAACATTTTCTTTTTAGCGATCAAACTTGTGATTTTAAAAAATCAGACATTCTTTTTTTTGTTACTGAATTACAACTTTTATGTCTGAACATGAAAAATAATTTTATTAGGTTCTATTTCAAAAATAATATTATTTCATCTCGGGAAATAAATATGAATAGGTATGTTATTTTATGTGAATATGTAAATATAGATATGTTATTTTATATTCAACTGACATCCAGCGTTTTTCAGTTACTTTTTCTCACCATATGTTTTTGGTTACTACTGTCTACTGACATTTTTCCTTAACAATGCTTAAAATGTTCGTAAAACATTCTTCCATTTTATAAATTTGTTTATTGTCACAATCTACCAAACAACACACTTGAGTGTGAAACAAGTTCACCGTTTCATTATTTACTGACAACTGTTAAAAAACGGCGTCTGTCATCACAACGATTACGATTGTTACTATCAGAGCTTATGTATTACTTTTATTACTATTCCGATTTTTTAAGAAAAATAAAAAATACATAAGCTCAAATAGTAATAATTGCAATCGTTGTGCTGGCGGAGTTGTTTGAGAAGGAGGAAGAGGGTTCCAGAGAAAAGGATTAGTAAAGGCAAACGTAGATTTAGCGTTCGGAGTGTTTGAAAAAAATACTAATTTTTGATTTAAATTAAATTAAAATTAAATTTAATAATTAAAATGTTAGAGTTAAGAAATATTTATAACAACACACAAATAAACCGCTAAGAAAGAAAATATCTGTCTAATTGCAACGTTCATTATTCAAGTTGTACACTTCAAACGATTAACTTTGGACGAGGTTTTCTTGATCGCTGGAATAATAATGATGATTTATTTTCAACACTCATTTTTTCGACAATTTTTTGTTAATGACTACTGATGAATAAATGAATTTTATGGTTGTTTATTGAAATGATGTAGGCTTCAATAAATGTATCAGTGTACACTTCCACGCAAGCGTCATGTTGTTAGTCTAATTTATTCTCAACCATTTCTCAACCTAGCTATTACGCATGTTTATTTTCTCTGTGATTTTTTCAAATTTATACAAATTAAATTTTTTGTGATGTTATAAATCTGTTTCAAGACATTGGTTTTTTGCTCTTCAATTTTTATTCTCGATTTTTAAACAAATAATTTTGCAGTAAATTTTGTGAAAATTGTCAAAAATTAAATACTATCATTTGGAATAATGTTAACTTATTGTATTTCGAGAAAAAGTTTCTTGCTATTCACAAAAGTTGGCAGAGAAGGCAGTTTTTCAAAGAGCAACTCAGGTCGTTGAACATGAATTTTTCGCCATAGCGACGAAACTCCACACAACCTTCATCGCCTAAATTGTTTGGTTCGCCAGGAGCCCAATTTTTTGCTTCAGTTACATTTCTGAAAGCGCATATTTCGTCCAAGAACATAGAAGCTCTGAATATTTTCCAATTAAAAGCGTCACTGGTACCTTTCCTGTGGCCGGCCGTCCAGAAACTTTCCGATGCCAATACGGTTGACGTGCATTTTGCTGCATGGTTTCGATAAAAAAAATTTTATCGCATATCAATCAATGATAACTTAATTATCTAACAAAATTCAAAGACAATTCATCAAATGTAGATAATAATAATCTCCAACAAACCTTTATAGTTGTTTCCGAGAAAATCACTCAAACCCTGGATAACAGCTGGTGTATCTACGATAGCCAGACTGGCTCCGAGTTTGATGCATTCATTCGCAGCATCATCCCAGTTCATCTGCCTGTCAACAACTGTTATACACCTGCCTCCAACTCCTGAAAACCCATTCGGACATCCACCTACATAGTTTAACAAATGAAATAACTAATGATCATGAAATATGAAAAGTTATTCATTTACTACCTTCAACAGAGGAAGCACAGAAAATGAGTAGACTCAAGATTGACAAAACTTCTTTGAACACAGCCATATTCTTCGATGTTTATTTTCTCATTCAGAAACCAGCCCATCTTTAAATAGGCAACCATCATACTCGTAGCGGTGATATTGTTATTTAATTCATTCCACACAAAACACATCATTGCAAACGATAAATTGCTTTTACACCTCATAAAAATTTGCATTAGAGTCACGTTACGATTGATCGGAGAAACTATCATTCAGGTAGTTTTTATTGCATGTACGTAACTGCTCTGCACGTTTCAGATGTTTTGAAAAGTTTTTCTTCATATTGATTGTGCCTAAAATATTTTATTACGTGTTTTACTGGCGCAAACAAGTTGAGAGGTATGACTGCCATCTTCTGGTTTTTATGAGGATCGCGTGTTCAAACGCAACCTCGAATGAGAAAAACGTTCATCATTCTATTGCAACCCTTTTTAAATTGCCATTATATATTTTCTTACAATTGCTTGTTGGAGGTTTTTATCATCGTTTTTGTAATATTGCTGATTGATTGCTGAAACTGCTTGCCGCTTTTTACTGACGTTTGATTTTTTAAACAACAGACCTAAGTACAGTGAAGCATAAAAAATTTTCAGTTTTCATCATCATCATTAGCATCCCCATCATCATACCCATCATCAACAAACAACAACATCATCATCACTATTATTGTTATCATTAACGTAAGCAACCTCATCATTGTGAAGTCATCAATATACAGAGATTGAAATAAATCTTTTGGAATATATTTGCATATACTGTTTATTTTAATACAAAATAGTATGGTCGAGAGTATACTTCCTTGGGGAATTCCCATTTCGAGATCTTTATAGTTTGAAGTTTCGTTTTTTATTTTAACCCTAAATTTTCTGTTGTAAATAAATTTAGATATGAATATTGGTAGTCGACCTCTAAGTCCAGTATTATATAGATCATTAAGAATTCCATATCGCCATGTTTTATCATAAGCTTTTTCTACATCAAAAAAAATTATTATTACTTGCTCATCGCATATCAGAGCTTCCCTGATGTAGGTTTCTAGTGATATTAAATGATCTATAGCACTTCTATCTTTTTGACCTCCACATTGTGTGTATGATATTGTGTTATTTATATTTAGATGGAATGTTAACCTATTTAATATTAATTTTTCAAAGATTTTACAGAGAGTGTTTGTTAATGAAATAGGTCTGTAATTTTCAGGGTTGATTTTTGATTTACCAGGTTTAGGTATTGGGAATACTAAAGCCTCATGCCATTCATTTGGAACATCAGCTTGTGTCCAAATATGATTGAATGCCTTTTCTAATGCTTGTAGGGTAAGTGAGGGTAGTTTTTTAAGAATATTATATGTTATTTGGTCTGGGCCAGGAGCAGAATTTTTGCTGGATATTATGGCATGTTTTATTTCTGATAATGTTATTAAGTCGTTATACGATTCGCTGTTTGTTGAATTAAAGTCTAATTTAATATTTTCCTTTATTTTCATATAATTTATTGACTCCACTTGATGATTTTTTAGGGAGGAGTTGTTTTTAAATTGATTTGCTAGAATTTCTGTAATTTCTTTTAATGTTTCATAGGTTTTGTTTTTATATAAGATACTGCTTAAGCGACTGACATTATTTTTATTGTTTATCTTGTTTACAATAGTCCATATTTGTTTCATTGGTGTTTTTTCATCAATGCAGTTAACATATTTGTTCCAAGTGTTAGATTTTTCTTGTCTAAATGATTTTCTAGCACTAGCTTGTAGTTTTTTATATTCAAGAAGATTGGAAAGATTGGGAAATTTTTTGTATTTATTGAATGCTTTTAATTTGAGGAGTCTGCTTTTTTTACATGTTTCATTAAACCATGGATTTATTTTTTTCTTAATTCTGTTGCAGTGAATTTTTATAATTGGGGTGGTTTTTCCTATTATTAAGTTTATATTATTTGAAATGTATGTGATAGGGTGAATTTTTTTTTGACTAGTAGTTTTTTGTGGGTTGATTTCAGTATTACATAAAGTTTGAAATGTTTTCCAATCAGTTTTATTAACGTTGTATTTTATTTTTGTTTGATTATTTTGGTATGTAATGTTGTAGGATAGGACTATTGGGGAGTGATCGCTATTGTGTAAGTCATCATCTCTGTGCCATGTTATATGTTTGTAAATAGTGGGAGAGGCTAGTGACAGGTCTATTAGTCATCATATGTTGTATTATTTATCTGTGCAGTTTTATTTTGTTGTTTTTTTATTATTAATGGAATATTTAATAAATTGCATTGAATGCCTATATCCATTGTTTTTTTTGTTGTCCTTTGTGAAACTATATTAGCATATGTTGGTTTGTCATTTGATGTTGTTAAGGATTTTGCTTGTTTATATGTTATTTCTTTTATGATTTTTGTTTCAATGGTTTTTTTTTCTAATTTGTAAATTGGACAGGATTTATCAAATGTTGGATGGGCTTGACTACAATGAAAACATTTGGGTGTATTTTGACATGGATTTTCCCATGAGTGCTTATGACCAGTTTCACCACAGTTAGCACATATAACAGATTTGTTTTTACAGAATTTGTGAATATGTCCAAACTTTTGGCATCGAGTACATCTTATAGGTGGGGGAATGTATTTTTCAACCTTTATATTAGTATAGCATATTTTAATCTCTGATGGGAGTTCGGTTAACTGAAATGTAAGTATGTAAGTATTAGTTTTAATTTGTTCTTTATTTTTAAATATTTTTATATTTTTAACATCAATTACTTTTTCTAAAACCAACTCATCCCTTATTTCATCTTCTGAACTATTTTTCAGAATGTTTGTTCTAATCACACCTTTTATTACATTTGTTTTATTATCAATGTGAGTCTTTATTTTACAATCAAACATTTTGTTAATTTTTTCTATTTTATTCTTTTGATTTTCATTATTAATTTTAAGAAGAATTCTATTTGGGAAAATTTTAATTATTTCTATCTCACCTACATTGTTTGTGAAAAATTTGTGTAATTGAAAAATAGAAATTTTTGAAAAAAAATTTTATTTTCAGCCTCTACTACATATTTTAGAGGATATGTATGGTCAGACTGTTCGTCTGACATTCTTTGTCTTTTCCTGTTTTCGTTTTCCGTCATTGCTTAGGAATATAAAAAAAAACAAAACAAAACAAACAAAAAAACAAAACAAAAAAAAGAAATTAAACCTCGGAATGCTTCTTACAAAATATTTTCAACTGAAACAGCTTGAGCTGCCGGACCAGCTGGTGGAATACTCCTGGAAGTCAGCTTCTGCCAGCGATAGTATTTGGCAGAAAAAAGGATAAATTCAATTGAGTTAAATTTATAAAATCTCTGTATAAACTAGTACCAAATTTTGTTTAAACCCCACTTCACCAAAGTAACATTTGAGTAAACATTCATGACAAATTCTTTTTTAATAAAAAAAACTTGCTCAAATAAGTTGAATAAACAAAAAAATATCGCCATTCCTTCTCCCAAGGAGTTTTTGGCTATACCACTGTTTGAGAGTTTCTGACTTTAAAATCTGTTTATTCCTAATTTATTAAATGCAAGGCATGTTGGCTCTTCTAATTTAAAATTTGTTTAATTTTCTTTTCTAATATTTAGAGTTTAGGATTTAGAAATAATCAAGTCAACTCAATCAGCTATCGATGCAACAAATTTTATTATTCTACTAAATTCATCTTGTTATATTGATTTAAATATAAATTAAACCAAAAATGAGATGCAAAATTTTCAATATAAGTTTATTAATTTAGGTTTTAAAATTTTTTTCGGCCTCGAATTAAATTTAGTTTATTAATTAACTTTGTTGATTTTCCGTAAGAAGTAGTTGTTTGGTGTTATTTTCCATGCAGATGATGATGATAAAGATGGTGATGAGGAAAATGATGAGAGTTGAAGATGGTGTTGATAGCAGTGACGATGGTGATATTCAACAAGCAGCTTGTTTATTACAGTAAAAATATAGTGAATGCATTTAATATTGCCAGCAGTAAGCCAACGACTGATCGACCAACTGAACGCATCTGTCTCATCAATCAATAACTTTTCATCTGCAAGACAACTTCATCGATTTTATTTAACGAGCTGAAACTCTGTGATGCAATTTTTTTTAAATACCTTCAATTTTTTTTACACTATGTATTTCTCCACAGTAATAAAAAGTCAAAGGTATACTTAAAGAAGTAGCAACCAGAAGTAGTAGTAGAAGTAGTAGGAAAGGTTTGTTAGAGTAGTAGCATTACTAGCTTCAGCTGCAGGTGTGGCAGAGTAGTAGAAGTTAGAAGTGTTGGTAGTAATTGTATTTAGGTAGTTATATGGATTTTGGTTTGAGTCGACCAATAATTTTATGTTATGTTATTGCCACCAGACGATTGAAAATAAACATTACAAATCGTAATCGTCCAATCACAAGGATGTCATGCTGTTGACAAATTTCATTTGGTTGTATAATCTACATAATTGTAACTTAGATTTTTTTAGCTTTAAAATAATTAACTAATATTATTTGGTTATTTTGTAATTGATTGTTTTAGAGTTTATAAATTAAAGATTTTGTCTATTTGATGGTAATAAAAACAAGAACATAACATGAAAATTATGAGCACGGGCAGTAAAACCTGTAAGCCCACATCTATTTGATTCTACGTTTGAATGCAACTTTAGCCATCAAAAAATTAAATCAAATCGTTAACAAATCATGTAAAAGCTATAAATACATAATAATATCGGCCAGTTATATTGCCATTCATCAAATGTCTATGGCTTTTTACTTCTTATTATTCATGTTATTTCCATTAAAAAAAACTTCTATATCTTCTGTCTACATTTGATAGTTTTTTTCGTGTTTTTGGCGTTTTGTTTTTGTTTAATTTTTTGTTTTGCTGTTTTTTATTTGCTTGTCGGCTAACTTACTGATCTGTCAGTGTGAATCAATTAGGATATACATAAGGAAGGAGATGTCTTTTGAAAGCTTTGACATCAACTGTGCTCACTTCCTGTTTAAAGTTAACTAATTCAATTCAGCTCGTTGTTAACGTTCAAGATGGCAAACATAATTTTAGTAGCAGAATTGTTAAGTTTAATGGAGAATAACTTACATTGATTTTAAAACTTATGCGAATAAAGAATCCAACGAATTCAAAAGGAAGTGGAAAAAAACGAAGGAAGTAAAACAAACCAAACAGACTTGTCATCCCCCTTTGGAGAGGTCATTTAACGCTGAACTTAGGAACATATAACATGTAATGTAATGTTACAGGTCAAAGGTGGAATCTAACGATTTACGACACGTCTATTTACTTTATCGCCAAAAATCCTTCTATTTGTGTTTTTGGAGGATAGGTCTAATGGTTACAAATATTTAACAGTAAATGCAGTCTAATTTCTTTTGCAACTAAGATTGAGTATCAACATTCCATGTTGATACTCAATAGCATATTATTATATTACATTTTAACTCATCTGATCAGCACAAAGATCCGACAAATGTTGGGAAAATTCACAAATGCTTTGAAATCTTAATTTGCAAATAAATACTTTGAAGAATCAATTTTTGCTAGATTTGAAAAATATCTAAATTCTTAAACTTTAACATAAAAAAACAGTATTAAAAAACATTTTTGCCTAAAAAGTCAGCAGACCAAACCAACAGACAGGCAGCCAGACCAGAGACAGGCAGCCAGACCGACAGACAGGCGAGTGTTGACAGAAGATTAAATATTCTCCTCATCCTCTTATACCGACCAGTTTTCTTATCTCAGATAACCAGTCTGTTTTGATGAAGGGAGAATGACGACCCCCGTGTTATTTATATTTTGTTTTTTCATTTTCCAGGCCCAGACATTAAAACTAACGTTCATTCAAACTAACGACTGTGCCCGGAGATACAAAATTTGACTTGATATAATCGAGATTGCCGTGCCATCCATTATTTTGATGGATTGTCTTTGGTGGTTTAAAGTTAAAATTTTAAAATAATATTTAATTTTTATTTGATTATTTTAATATTACTTTGAATATTATCGTAAATTTCTTCTTAGTTAAACTGTATTTTTTAAATATTTTCATTTAAATTGAAAGAATTAAAAATTTTAGTCCTAATTTAAATATGGTACATAAAAGTTTTTCGGAAAACAATATCTTAATTATAGTGAAAAAGAATGTTGCGGATGACTATGTTGTTGCTTTTGTTGTTGATGATGATGGTGATGATGATGGTGATGATGATGGTGATGATGATGGTGATGATGGTGACGGTGGTTGAGGCGATTCTTAGTGAGTAACTTATAATGTTTTCAATGTGATATATTTATAACAACAATAGCAAATAGTGAACACACACACACAAACACACGCACACACGCACGCACCCACTCGCACATGCATTACGATCACGATTCATTCATCTTACAAATGGATTTTAAATAACGATGCTGCGAGCTAGAGGATGACAACATTAATTAATCTAAGT